CACCCCAACACAAACCAACCCACCCCAACTCAACCCAACCCAAACCAACACAACCCAACACAAACCAACCCAACCCAACACCACACAACCCAAATCAACCCACCCCAACCCAATCCAAGGTGACCCGACCCAACCCTGGGAGCTCCCCAGCCCATGCCAGGGAAGGACAGCCCTTGGCACGGCTCCTCTCGCCGGCACAGTGCCCTGGGTATGGCCCCCCACAGATTCCCCCCAGTTGGGGAGGAAAACATGGAAAAGAGGGAGAAGAGGCAAAAGCAGCCGGAAACAGAGGAGTGGAGTCTGATGGGAGAGGGAGTGAGTGGATAAAGACGCCGGCACTCGGCTCCTCCCTAATGAATGAGGCTTTGATAGAGTTTATTGTCCTTGACGCCGTTCATTCCCAGGCTGCTCCTTGGAGACGTTCCCTCCTCCGCCCGCATCCCCACGGCCCTGCCAGCGCCAGCGATGGAACGGGATGGATCCCACGAGGGGATCCCCAGGGACCTACACCCAGAGCCCACCCCATCCCAGAGGAGGCTCCTGCACTGTGCAAGGCCTGAAGACCCTTCACAGGCAGGTCCCGATCCTGGCAGGATGTGGGACTGGCAGAGACGGGATTTCCCCTGGAAGTGGGAGCTTTTACACTCGCTGGGGACCACTTGTGGCACAGAAAAGCTTCCTGGCACCCAACGAGCCGGGCTGGGCAGAGCTGTGGTGGGCAGCCAGGCTGCAGGGCCAGCTGTGCCGGCAGGGACAGAGCTTGTTCCTGGTTCCAAGTAAGATCAAGCCCCGGCTGGGCACAGGAGGATGGCACGGCTGGTGGGTGGTCAGCAGGAAGCTCTGGCGTGGCTCGGGAAGGCCGCCACTGGCACTGGCACTGGCACTGGCACTGGCACTGGCACTGGTACTGGCACTGGCACTGGCACTGGCCCTGCCGCTCCCCCGCGAGGCGCTCGGGGATGGAGGTGACTCCGTTATTCAGGCAGTGCCAGCACAATTCCCGGCCCGGTGCCAGGGCTGGAGCCGAGCCACGTGATAAATCCTGCAGTGCCGGGGGTCCCAGCGGGGTTGCCGGGGGGGTTTCCCGCTCCTCCCGCAGCATCTCCCCCTGGACCAGGGGCATCCCCCCGGGGTGTCCCCTGGGGCTGTGCCGCTGCCACACGGAGCCACCCCGGTTCCAGGGGATCCAGATCCGGGGCAGCGGGATGAGTGACTCCTCATTCCACAGCCCAGCGCTGCGCCACGGAACCTGCTGCTGTCATTCCATGGAAAAATCACCGTGCGGAGATGGAGGATTAAGCCAAGGGGATGAGACACGGGATGGGCTCAGCCCTGTCACGTTGGGCACACGGGTGCTCCCCACTTCGGCACCCCCTGCCCCCCCCCAGCTCCCAAAGCACATCCCAGGTGCTGCTCCAGCCCCTGGAGCGGCAGGAGCTCAGCTGGGCTGGCAGAGATGAGCACAGAGGAGCTGCCCCAGCATCCCCAACCTCCATCGGCCTCCACTCTGCCCCTTCCCAGGGCAGCACAACATCATCCCCCCTCCCCAGACTGCCAGTCCCCTTTCCCAGACTGCCAGCCCCTCTTTCCTGACCTCCAGTCCCCCTCCCCAGACTGCCAGTCCCCTTTCCCAGACTGCCAGCCTCCCTTCCCAGACTGCCAGTTCCTGCCCTCGGGCTCCCGGAGCATCCCTGGTCCCTGAACTCTCAGGGTGACTCCTGGGCCCTTCCCTCCACTGGCCACGCTGGGATCTAACAGGATCTGGGTGCCGAGACACTCCCACCCTCGCCAAGGTCACGGCAAAGCTCCGCGACACCGAGCGCCGCCCTGAGAGGCAAAGCCCTGTGCAAACACTAATTAATCCTCACTAACGAACTCCAAATTTATGGCTTATTTAAGTGTCTGTCTGGCACAGGCTGTTAAATCCCTAATCCCATCCCGCTGGAGCGCGGGAAGGGGGATGGCACAGCCCTGGGTGGCCTCGGCACCACCCGGCAGTGCCGGGGGCTCCGGTGCCAGCGGTGAAGTCCTGGAGGAGCCACGGGGAGGGCTGAGCCCTCACCAAAACTGCACTGGAGCATCTCATGGGTCTGCAGCCCAATCCAAAAATGGGACCACCCCAAAACAGGGACCACCAGCACAGGTACCCCAGCACCAGTGCCATTCCTATGCCACGCCGGGATCCACGGTCCCATCGTGCCAGTCCTGGATGTGCTGCGGAGGCAGGATGAGTCCTCACCAAAGCTGCCTCGGAGCCTCTTATGGGTCTGCAGTCAGATGGAACTGCACCAAAAGGAGATCACCCCAAAAACAGGACCACCCCAAAACAGGGAGCACCGGCCCAGACAACACAACGCCAGCCCCGTGCCGTGCCGGGATCCACCGCCACGCCAGCCCCGGATGTGCCAGGGTGGCAGCGCTGGACCCTCACACCGTGCTGCTGCTGCTGCTGCTGCTGCAAAATGCCAAGTCTTGGGGAATTCTCAGCACAAGCCCAGGCCATGCCAGGAGCAGATAATGGGAACGTTTGAGTGCCCGATCCGTCTCTCCCCGCCCCGTCAGCCCCGTTAAATCCCGCTCTGGTGGCCCATAAAACGATATTTCACAGCGCGGGGGGAGCACTGGCTGATGGCTCTGGGAAGCCGTTCAAGAACTCGGACACACGGTGGAGGTTCTGCAAACAAACGTTGGAAATCAATGGAACAGCAGGATGTTAACGGAATTCCACGAGCGGCAAACACCGGCAATTACCGGCACGGAGAAAGATTTCACTGGGTTGAAACCATTTTTCAAGGCAAGAGCTCGACTGAAGTAACACCCCTCTGAGCCACCCTGGAAGCTGTGGCTGCCCCAAACCTGGAATATTCAAGGACAGGTTGGACGGGGCTTGGAGTGACCTGGTCTAGTGGGAGGTGCCCCTGTCCATGGCACGGGGTGGGACTGGAGGGTTCTGAAGGTCCCTTCCGAGCCAATCCAACCCACTCTGGGATTCCAAGATTCAATGAAATGCCGGTCCCGGCTCTCCCCGGCTCCTGGAGAGAGTCATCAGCCATTCAAAAATTAATTAAAACCAAGGACCTCATTTAATTAAAGGTGTGCAGTGAGGAAGTTGTTCTATTACTGAGAAAGTCAACGCGTGGAGTTTCATCTTCAGAGAGCTGCTGCAGGAGGGGGGAACCCGCTCACCTCCCTCCCCAAGCACAGAGAGGGATTTCAATCCCAAATTTGATGGGAACGTGTGGTTTTCTCACAGGCTGGGCAGGAAATCAGCTTTTTGGTTAAAATGAAGGCCGGAACGTCTCAAAAGGGGGATGGTGAGCCCCCCCAAATTCCCTCCTGCTGAAACAACCCCCACATGGCTCTGAACACCCGACAGGGCGAGAGAATTCCGGTTCTCCCATCAAATTAACATCCTTACCCCGGGTGGGGGCTCATTAAGGTCTATTTCCAGGGAAGCAGCAGCTCGGATCCGCTGTGCAGGACCCCATGGGGGATGGAACATGCAGTGCTCCATCCAGGGGTCCTGCTCCCAGCCCAGCCCCTTCCCATGGGGTGATGATGGACACAGGTACGTCTGGAGCAGCTGGAAACGCTCCGAGACCGGGAATGGTAAATGAGCTCCACATTCAGGGGCTCCCCGAGGACTCAGCAGCCCCTGAGGGACCCCAGGGTGGGGGGACCTGCCCCATTCAGCTCGTGCTGGGGTAGAGCCAGGTGCTGGGGGAAGGATCCTGTCCAGAGCAAGAGGGGTTCCCAGGAATCCTCGGGGTCTCAGGCTCCTGCTCCCAGGAGCGTGAAGGCAGAGGAGGGAAGGGGAGACGGGTCATTTGTGGTGCCATCCCACAGTTCATCCTTGGCTGAACTTGCCATGCTTGGATTGCCAGGCAATGTGCCAGGTGGGAAATCCATCCTGGAGATCCATCCCAGAGGTTGGTGAGGCTGTGACAGGGAACAGGCAGCTGGTGGAACATCCCCCCAGTCCTGGAGCATTCGTGGGCTCACAGAGCAGGGGGAGGACGGCCTGACCCCCCAGGGATGAGCCAGAGCTCCCAGTTCCCCAGGCACAGGATTTTGGGGGTTCTTCCAAGAATCCCAGATGCCAACAGTCATCAGGAGACCCCATAAGAGCCAAGGGGACCCAGAGCCTGGCAGTACCGTGGGATGGCAGGTGGGGAGAGCCCCTCCTCCCTGCCAGCGCAATTAGGGAAGCTCATTATTTGTAAAGCAATTAGCAGAGCTAATCAACTCCCAGCGACACGGCGGAATGAGCAGAGAGGAGAGGGGGAGATGCCAGATGCCACCGCCAGCGCTGGGAGCGGGGCTGGCACTGGGGACGGGGACACAGTAGCCCCTGAGGGACACAGGGTGGGGGACCTGCCCCAATCAGGGGCTGTTTGGGGACAGAGCAGCCCCCGAGGGACCCCAGGGTGGGGGACCTGCCCCAATCAGGGGCTGTTTGGGGACAGAGTAGCCCCCGAGGGACACAGGGTGGGGGACCTGTCCCAATCAGGGGCTGCCCAGCTCATGCTGGGGCAGAGCCA